AGAGAAGCTCTTTTAAATACACATGCCTGGCATATCTCCAAGGTTTTAGCTGATCTCAGCAAGTGATTGCTGGATCAGCGCTCAATTTCTTCCAGGGCTGAGCCCCAGGACCTCCAGGCTTGGCAATGTCATAGCTCAGTACTGTTGGGCTGACCACGTTGGTTATGAAAGTACAAAAATTGCTTGAAGTCCAGCACCTCTTTCATTGCAAATTAAGCACTGGGATGGATGAACCTCAAAAGAAATCTGAATTAAATATGGACCCCAATATTCAGATTTTTATACTAAATCTATTTGAACAGCTTGAAACCATTGGCTCTGAAAACTGGAAGTTTCACAAGAACAGGCTCTTTCACAAGAATATTGAGGCCTTTTGTACATGTCGGGCCACCTGCTTTTCCACTGCTATTTTGGTCCTTCTGTTCCTCATCTTAAAAGAGAATTAGGAAACACAGGATTGTGTGATGATTGAATAAAGGGAACAAGTTATTCCTGAACCTGTAAAAAGGCCCCATTCAGATTTGGGGTACAGATTCTTATTTTGTCTAATTCTTTTTCACCTAGTACCATAAGTAACACTCTATATGCTTATAAAGTGAAAATCACCCCAAAGCACAGGGCCTACACATTAACCTCAGCATTGCCTAATCTTTTGAGTAAGACAGGAGATATCAATTTTCATTGCTATTTAACCTCCCTGACCTATTCTGCCTTTCTGGATAACACAAGAGTAGCGCTCCATCCTCTCTCTGTGACGAAGCTACAGGTGGGACCCAAGCAGAGACTTAGGAGTGGGTTTGACAGTGCAGGATTACGTGGATCCTGTGGCCGAGCAGCATGCATATCGCTGTATGGAGTGGCAGCTGCTGTTATCTCAGGCTTTGAGCCGTAGTAGAGGGCAGGAAAGGCTTGTTTGTAGCACAGTGGCATGCCCTTGGTTTGGAGAATGAATAATGGACTGCTCGTTGCCCCATACAAAGCCCACTCAGGCTGGATCTAGACTACAAAGTTCTATCAGAAAAAGATACGCAAATTGCAAACCACAATTTTTACATATCTTTTTCTGTTTTTCTTCTGAAAGAGGCTTTTCTGACAATTGGCCCATCTACACTGGGCCAAATGTTGGGGAAAAAAGCCTCTTTTGGAACATCCCTTCTTCCTGGTAGAATGAGGTTTACAGGGATGCCGGAAAAATGCGTCTGCTTTTCTGAATTTTTTTGGGGGGAAATCAGACGTATTCCTTGGACGTGGCAGAGCTTTTCCGGGATACCTCTTGCAAAAACTCCGCAGACTAGATGTACCCTTACCATGGTTCCAAGCAAAATAAAAGAGACTCATCACATTGCACATGGCGAATACAATGCAAGCCCCTGCTGTTTCCAAGACATCGCCCGTGAGCATGATGGAGCTAGTCCCTCCCAGATTTCCACACACAATGATGTATTGTATCCAGTTGTGCAGAAGATAAATAAGCTATTTTCTCATAGGGATAGATGAGTGCCACTGAGAGGCTATTTCAGATCCATTGCCATGGCAGTTTCTCTTGCACTCTCAGTACAGATGGAGACAGAAAAGATAATGAAGAGCTACAGGATGTGACTGGTAAATTAGCTGAACTGTTAATAATTAAGCACATTAAAAGCCTTGTAATTGAATATGCTCTTCTAAAAGAAACAGCAAAACATCTCAATTTTAAAGGAAAGGCTTCCGAGTACACATGTCATTTCAGCATCTTCCCACCAAGCAGATCTCTTGCCAAAAGGGCAAATTCAAATCTTGGCAAAATTATATTTTACTGGCAAGTTGAAACATTTATTTACTGTGGGGCTAAGAGGAGCTCAGCAATTATTTGTCACGGAGAATAGCAGAGACCCGACTGGCTAGCTGGGTGAGGATTAATTTTATTGGGTTATGAGAAAGAGGAGTAGAGGAGCAGAGACAACTTACTCAAGAGAAATTAATTCAGCATGGATTTGAGGAAGCATAGCTTTGGCGTGAGTAGTTGCACAAGAATTTTTTACCTGGGCTAACAAACTTAGCCCTTCAGCAAGTAGATATTATGGATTGTTTCAACCCTTGTTGATTATTGTTGTTTGTTACAAATTCTATTGCAGTAGCTCTTAAAGGCCACATGCAGAGAGCTGGGGTCTATTGCTTTGGGGGAACTGTACAAACAAACAATAGACAGAGAGTCCCTGTGCAAAATTCTAAGTGATTATCTGCACTTAAAATACTACAGCAATACAGCTCCAGGGCTTCAGTAGAGACACTATGCCAATGGGAAGTGTTCCCTCATGAGCATAGGTAACCCACCTGCCTGAGAGATACTAACTAGGTCAGGGATGGACAATAAAGATCTTCAATCGACTGAGCATTGTCTACACAGGGGTTTAGGTCCACTTAACTACAGTGCTGAGAAGTGTGGATTTTTCACACCTCTGACCAACATAGGGTGGCCTAATTTTCTATTATAGACAAGCCCAAAACTCATGGCTACATTCCCCTGTAGTTCAGACTGTGGCAGTGTAAACAGCAGCATGTACCAAAGTGCTGTGGTGTAAACTCCCCCAGCACCTGTGGAGATGCCATGGGCAGGAATGAAAAGTTTCCTAGATCACCTTAATGTAGTTCTCCTCAAACACAATTTACCTTAAGGTAAAGTAGGAACCTCTTAGTTGCTGCCCTCAGTGCCCACCTGAGGGTGTTATAGCTTAGCACTTCAATGCACAGTGCTATTTACTCCCCCATAGTTCAAACTTCAGGGCAGTGTACATATGCCTTTGGTGAGGCAATGCTGATGAGCTAATTTAGCCTGAAGGATTTTTATTCCTGGATTTGATGTGGGATTCTGAGAACCCAGCTTGCTTCCCTGAACCCAAATTGAGGTTGCAATATATGCAGTCAGGGACCGCCTTTAAAATGGGAAGTCAAATCTATTGATGAAAATAGAAAGGAAAATAAACTCTGGCACGTTAAATATAAATAATCAGCAAGGCCAAAAAAGAATTTGAAGACCAACTAGCTAAAGGCACAAAAATTAACAGAAACAAAAACCATCAGAAGCAAGAAGCCTGCCAGTTGGTAGGGCCACTGCACCATCAAGGTGCTACAGGAGCACTTAGGGAAGACCAGGAAGTAGCAGAGAAGCTAAATAAATTCTTTATATCCATCCTCATTGCAGAAGATGACGGAGATTCCCACACCTGAGCCATTCTTTGTAAGTGATAAATCTGAGAAATGATTCCAATAGAGGATGTTTTAGAAAAAATTAATACATTAAACAATAACAAGTCACCAGGATCAGTGTCCCCTCTAATATTTTCCATCCATGTGCAGAATAAATTCTGTTATGTACACCAAGGCATGCACAGATGTGCACCAATAGAAACACATGCTGCCAGCAGTGAGCAACTGAAAGTGTTCTGCTAATCAGTTGAGTGGCATTTGGATCTGTCTTGGGTGGTTGCACAAGCGTGCAGCTTACAAGGAACACTGACCAGGAGCAGATGTTATTCATCCAAGAGTTCTGAAGGAACTCAGATATGAAATTGCAGAGCTATTAACTGCTGTGTAGCCTGCTGCTTAACTCTGTCGCTGTATGCAGCAGGGGGGTCGATCTGGGTGGGCTGTAGAGTGATTAAAAAGACTGTGACTATTCATCTAAAAAAAAGACTTGATTAAGGCGTGATGTGATAGAGGTCAATACAATCATGACTGGTATGGAGAAGTGAATATGGACGTGTTGGTGATCCTTTCATACAACACTGACCAGGAGTCACCCAGTGAAATGAATAGGCAGCAGGTTTAAAATAAACACAAGAAAGCATTTCTTCACACAATGGACAGTCAATGTGTGGAACTCTGCCAGAAGACGTTGAGAAGGCCAAGACTATAACAGGATTCAGAAACTAATTAGATAAGTTCATAGAGGACAAATACATCAATACCTATTAGCAGGGCTTGCCAAGCGGTGGCAATCCCCGCTCGCCAGCCGCGCGGAAACGCACGCTGAGCATACGCTGACCACACTGCACGGCCGTGCCAGGCTAAAATCCACTCGCCACGGGCAAGTAGATTACGTTCAGGCTAAAATCCACTTGCCACGGGCAAGTAGATTACGTTAATTGTCGAGCCCTGCCTATTAGCCAAGATTGTCAGGGATGTAACCCCATACTCTGGGTGTCCCTAAGCCTCCAACTGCTAGAAGCTGAGATGGGACAACAGGAGATGGATCCCTCCATAAGACAACTGTTTGTTCCCTTTGAAGCATTTGCCACTGGTCATTGCTGGGAGACAGGTTACTGGGCTAGGTGAACCATTTTATTAATGTCGGTGCAGCAAAATAAAAAGTAAATAAACATAAGCAAAGAAGAACGTCCTCTCATGCGATGGAAGATCTCCTTTTTTTGGAACGAGGAAAGATGAGTATTTTTTTTTCTTTTTAATTTTGTTTTGTGTGCAGTGTCTAGCTGTATAGCAACTTGTATGTCCATCATCCCTACAGGATCAGACCGCCTCAGAATCATTATCTTCACAAATCATCTGTGGAGTAAGAAGGTGTTATCCCACTGGAAATACAGGTGGGAAACAGAGGTGTAAGGTCACTTACCCAAAATCACAGGGGAAATCTGTGGTTGAGCCACGAATAAACACAGAACTCCTAAGTCCTCAGTCCACTGCCAAATTTACTGCACAATCCTAATCCAATACTCATTTTAACACGTGAAAAGTAATTTGCTTGTATTCTGTGTCGACAGGGTGTTACTTGTTTCTTGTGTTTACTTTTTTCACAAAAAAATCTAAAAATTGTACAGGATACACAGTTAATAGGGAACTCTAGTATTTATTCAGGTGATAACGGAGAAATTTGTCCAGCTTTCACACTTGAGAATAATTTATTAAGGCTGATTTTTAAAATGGCATGACTCTTATTTAAAACTTTCCATAGCAAACTGAATGGTTTGTTTTTCCTTACTCTGTATCTTTCTCTTTTCTGGCAGATGACATTTGATCCTTCAATCTTCTTCAATGTTTTACTGCCACCTATTATATTTCATGCTGGATATAGTTTAAAGAAGGTAAGTGATTTCTCTCAAATTACAGAAGGCGGACAGGTGTGATGGCTATTTTGTAGTGCCACTGTTATATTGGTGGGAAGAAAAAGCTAAGTAATTGTCAGTTTAATTATTTAGGTTACTTGATATCAGAGAAGAGTGAAGAGTAGAAAAATGACTATTTAAGAGTTCAACCCCCGCACTCCCGGACCTCATTCTGCTTCTGTTACACTTGTGTAAGGCTCTGATCTTGTACTTCAATGTGTGGGTAGATTGCTGTGCCAATTCAAGGTCCCTTTGAAGTCAATGAAGCTCCACATGTATGAAGCATCCTCCTACCATGCAGAATCGGAACTTACATCTGTGTAAGGGGGAGGAGGGGTGTTAATTACTATAGTTACATTGGTCATTAAGAACCTAAGCTTTTTTATGACCACTAACTGTTTCATGAATGAACATGCAATTCATGCTTGTTACGCAAAAAGGGAAGTTCAAAGACATGTAGAGTCTCTGATCATGAGAGAATATGAGAAGGATTTAGATCATATTGTCAAAAATATGTTTGAAGCCCCTGGTTTGTTTTTTCTAGTCCTGAAGAGCTACTTACTATAGCAACAGCCAGAATAGCTTGAAAGGGACTCCTCAGTTTGATGTTTGAACTTGAATTTAAATTTCTGAGATGAACTCTGCTAAATTTTACATTGTGCTTTTCATACTTTGTTTCCCCAGAGACATTTTTTTCGTAATTTAGGATCAGTCTTAACATATGCCTTCTTGGGAACGGCCATCTCTTGCTTTATTATAGGGTAAGTGAAATTCATGTCCTACTCTTCTTGTTCAAGTTCAGTATTACATTTTTCCCCCTGATAAAAGGACACATGATTTACTTCCCTGGTATTAACCTAATACAGAGGCATTTTCCTACATTGATCATGACTTTCCTAAACAAATGAAGTTCTATCTTCATGTGAGATTGAGATGGAATATTCAAGATACAGTTATGGTATATAGACCAACACTTTCCATGAGACAACCAGTATCTTGCATGTTTAGGCCCCAATTTGCTGTATTTATATAGGCACAGACTGCCTTTTCCAGTCATGTAACATTAGCATTTTATCTGTCCTGCAAGGAGAGAGTGTTCTGCTTGGGGAGAGGGGGACCAACAGTATTCTTGAAATTCAAGAAATCTCCAGAAAGACAGGAGGAATTTTAAGGTTCTTGGATTGTAGTGGAAAATAGACTGGTGTCAATGCCAGCCTAAATGAGACCAGCTGCAGCCCAGTGTCCTAGGAAAAGTCCCACAGCAGTGAATGGCAAAAAATGGGATTTGACCCAAGGTTTCTGCAACTGTGCAGAGCCCTGTTGAACCTAATGGAACTCCTTACAGGGGTCTTGCTATGCAGAGCTCATTTCAAGGTTAGGACCTACTGCATCATAATAAGTCTTCTGACTGTGATTGTATGGAGTTGAAGGAGGGGGGCTTATTTTAGTTTTAGAGGTAATGAGTTTGGGGATTTACTGATGGCTCAACTTTCAGATGAGCAGCTCATTGAATTGTGTAGGTTACCTGAGATCTTGGTCCGTGCAACACTTAAATGAGCCTTTTAAGCAATTTAGCATGTTGCACAAGCATTGATAGTAATGCTTCAATTTTATGTGTGCTTTAATGTTGAAGCGATTGGACTTCTAGACCCAGGCAGAATGCTTTCAAATTATGAAAGAAATTCATTTTGGCTTCTGTCACCTTGCTTTTTTAGAACAGACCTTCAGTAAAGTTTATGTGCTGAGTCAAAATATATCTCCTCTTTCAACATCCTTGTAAGACAGAACTTTCACATTTAATCTCAATTCAGTATTACCAAAACATCAGTAATTGATTGATTGGCCTGTAATTCAAAGTTTAATGCTTATTAAAACTATTCTTTCAATGGAAGCAAGACAAAAATGGCACACTCAACGTCAGAGGTAACTTTCTTGTCATCTTAGTAAAATTCAAAGAACCCAACAGTGAACAAAACATGTATGTATTGTAACAAACCCATTGTCACCTAGGATTTTTTTGGTTTTTATTATACTGCATGCTATGGTTGCTCAGAATTTCATTGACAGTAGAGAGAAATGTAATTGTCCTGCTCCAAAAGCACAGGTCCTTGCCACATGAGCTGAAGAAGAGGCTGGGTTAGCCATTAGCTGTGTAGCTGCTGTCACAGTTGAATGGTTCTGATTCCATCTAGTAGAGAGCAAAGATACACAGGCACACCAGGTAGTTTCTTACAGTGTGAACACTAAGCTAGGTGCTTAGATGTCGTAAAATGGTATCAGTGGAGCTTTGACAGTTTATGCCAGCTAAAAACTTTGACAGTTTATGCCAGATATCTGGCCCAGATATCTGAGTTAATTTCCCCATGTGGGTGCTTGTAATATGTAAATAAGTATATCTCAAGGCTGAATACTTTTTAAGATCAGTGCTACAGTGTATGCAAATAATAGCAGCTGTATACCTGGGACCTGGAGAACTTAACAAGGAAGCTTGTTCCAGTGGCATGCTAGGGATAAGAACTATGGATCTTTTATGTGAAAATGTCACTTCAGTGGCACTAGGACTAACACACAAATCTCCAAAGGTCTGGACTTCCATTTTGATGCTTGTCTGAATTATTTGAACTTTCAGGGTTTGCTCCACCTTTTTTCTACTAGATCTGGTTGAAAAATATCCACCAAATAATGTTCCTAATTTATTGCCACCTAATGCTGTTTTTATTTGTATATAAATTATTTGATGAATATTTAGGAAATGGCTGTCAGAATACGGTGAGGTCCCTCCCTCCCTGCAATACTTGCTACATTTCTTCCGACCAGGAGTCCTGTTCCAGGGTCCAGCAGTTCTAGCAAACTGTCTAGGCCCGGGTGCCTTTCCTTTTGAATGTCTTCCTGACTCCTACTCATCCCCCATGTACAACTTGTCACTCTAGCTCTCCTTACAGAACATCCCTTTCTCTAACTACACTGCCATCCTCTTCCAGATGCTGCTGGTTCTATCTATCCTCTCCTCTACCAACACTGCTTAACTGGATTCAAAGAAGCTGTGCCCTTGTACACCACAGGATGTGAATTTGGCCCTGGCTCTATGTAATTCCTCAGTGTGGGTATAGAAAGGGAGTGGAGTACTGGGTGAGCAGCCCCACAATGTTCAGTTTTTGCATCAGAGTGACAGCCAAGGAATGTCCTGATGTGACAGGACATTGCCATGTTATCCCATTGCCTGGTTTTGTTACACCTTATTGCCTCTTCTCTCCAGCACTTGGTTTTAATTGCTTGTTACTGTCCGCAAAATACAGAGGCAATGGTAACATATCAAGAGAAAATATTCAGAGCTGGCATCAACTGTGTACCCACTTCTTTGCCAGTGCAAAGCCCTGATTATCCCTCATGGGAGGGGAATCTTCATGAGTAAATCATAGCTGAGGTTTCCGCTGGTCATCCCTTGGTAGAAGCAGGCTTTACCACTTATCCACTCTATGGAAAAGGCCGCAAACCTGGACTATTAGCATCCACAGGAGGTAAGGGACAGCTACACAGGATCCCTATTGCTCTGCAGGGCCTCCTATGGCTCTGAAACCACAGCTCCATTGGAACCACTGTACAAGGAACTGCTCCTACCTCCTCCCAGGCTGCAGCTGCCCTAGGGTATGTCTAGGCCAGAGCCTGACCGAGCCATTCCGGCTCCCCGAGCAGACAGGTTAATTGTGCCCCAGGTTGGGGGAAGGTGCATGCGCAGGCCCACCCCCGCACAGGCACGTGGGAGAGGGCATGCGGAGCTGCTGGCAGCAGGACACACATGCCTGGTCTGGCCCAGCCCGGCTACCGTGTCTGGTGCGTAGCCCGTGGCCGCCTAGGGTGGGCCGAGCCTGGCTGTGCAGGGCTCCGTGGCTGTGGGGGGAAGGGCGCTGCTGGCCAGTGCTGCGGGGGTTAATGCGGCCCCCGCCCCGGGCGGCCACTGTAGGGTGGCTTCTGGGAGCTGCTGCAGCCTGTGATCCGGGAGCCAGGCACGTGGCGCCTGATGGCAGCTATAAGGAGTGCTGTGAGCCCCTTATAGCTGCCATCAGGGGCCCCCCATAAGTTGGTGCCCTGGGCAGCTGCCCAGCTAGCCCATGCCTTAATCCAGCCCTGGTCTAGACTACAGGCTTTTGTCATCAGAAGCTCTGTCAACAGATACTGTCGACAAAGCTTCTGTCGACAAACAGCGTGTAGACTACAGCCAGTACTGTTGACAAAGCAAGCCGCTTTTTCGACAGAGAATCTAGACCCTCTCTTTTGAAAAAGAACAGTGTGTATGCAATAGCACCTTTTGTCGACAGAACTCTGTCGATAAAAGGTGTTGTTCCTCGTAGAATGAGGTTTTCTGCTGTCGATAAAACTGCCGTGTTCTGTCAACTTACTATCGACAGAACTCGGCGGTAGTGTAGACACAGGTATAGTTTCGTCGACAAAAGTCCAGTTTTGTTGATAAAAGCCTGTAGTCTAGAAACACCCCTAGAGAGGCTACACAGAAAGTTAATTCAGCCACAGCTGGCTTATCTTTTTTGCCTAATTCTGCAGAGGAATAATGCATGTCTCCTCTCAGCTTTACATCCATCCCATCCAGTCCCTCTATCCACCCTTCCCTCCAGATCATACAAGATGCTTTCTGAGTACCTGGAGGGTAGGGAAGATGCCTATTTCTTTCACACAGAAGAGGCAGTTCTAAGTACCTAGTGCCTATGGGTGTGGTATTTAATTCTAAGCTAAAAAGACAGTGTGCCAGACCTGCTTGTACCTGCCATAGAATTCTCTCCAGCATTTGATTGGGAGCTAGAGCTGGCTAAGTCAGGGATGTTGTATGTATGTATGTATATATGTATATTTCAGAATATTTTGCCCTGGTTTCTAATGCAATGTCTCACCATCCCTGGGTTTCACAAGTCTGTTATGTGCTTTTATCACTGCATGACTCAGATAATGTGCCTTTTTTTATTCTACCGTAAAGGTAATACTTTCCAAGGCTGTCTTATTACATTGTGTAAATTATAGACCTGACTCCGTGACTGGACTCTGGCTGATTTTAAGAGAAGCAATAGATAACTCGGGGGGGGGGGGGGGGGGATAATTATGTGCATTTTATGATCTTTTAATGTGGGGTTAATAACTTAATACAACTTTGAAAACTCAATTAAATGGATCCTTTTAATAGAAGATTAACTTGATTAGTTTTTCAAGGTTTTAGAATTCCCTCCCAAACACTGCAAAGGTGCAAAAATAAACCCTCCGGGTTTGATTCCCCAGCACTCTGAGAGATGCCCCACTATACAGTGATGGTAATTGGCCCTCTAATTACCCCCCTGGGTAGATGTGGACTCTTTGAAACCATTGAGCAACTCATGCTTTCCACTTGAAACTGTAATTCTGCCCAGGCTGGCTCAAAAATGGGAGCAGCATCTGGGATGTATAATCCATAGACAGTTTGCATGTCTAGGCTGTGCACCCATGCGGAGAAAGAAATGAAAAAGAGCAAAGAAAGGAAAGAGAATTAAAATCTTGTTAGAAAGAAGTGCCTGAGAAGAAGCACTGCGCTCAGGGGAGAAGAGATGAGGGTAAGGCAGAATTAGTTGTTATAAAGGAAGTAGGTGACAAAAAGACTAAACTTGAAATAGTACCATATTGCAGAGTATTAGCCATGTATTTAAAGTAGGTGCTGCAGTCTCCCTCTCTAATTCTGGTTATTGGGATTATTATGGGGTGCCCGGTGGTGTTTAGTGCCCTAGGA